GCTCTCTCTCTCTCTCTCTCTCTCTCTCTCTCTCTCTCTCTCTCTGTTAGTGCGTGTGTGTGTGTGTGTGTGTGGAAGAGGTAGCTTGATGTAGCATATAGGTCTAAAGCTGTTCTTGAGAGTGGGTGTGGGTTTGCTTTGAGAACCTTCTTGATTTCCTCATAGGCTTCAGTCAAAGCAGAAAAAAGGCATTCTAGGATGTTGATCTCTTGAGAATATCTTCTATAGATCAAGAACACATACTGTTTCTTCCCTTTTTGAACTCTTCTTGTTTCCTAGTTAGCATCTCTCCTTCCTTTCTCTTTTTTCCTCCTCTTGAATTCAAGTTTTAATTTATTCCTGAATTAAATCTCAGATCGGTTTTAATTGCTGTCACTTTTGTTCTACTTCCCCCATCAGTTCTCTTCTTCCTTTTGTGGGTTGTCTATTGCCTCCTCTATGCATGTCTTCCTTATGTTTCAGTTGCAGGAACATACCGATGGTGTGCTTCGACTCCAAATGACCATCTACAGTCGATTGAAACCCAACCAGCAATTCCAACATCAAGCAAGAAGGTATAGAATCTCGATGCTCATGAGGTAGCCATGAACTCGAGCTCTATAGGTTCAGTCAGCAGTTCCAGCCTCATCGACGCAAAGCTCCGAGAGCACCCGGTGTGTGGATCCATACGCTGTCCTAGCTGCGGCCACAAGCTTGATCGGAATCTGGTATGGAAATTACGATTTATCTGCATTTCCCTTAAGCTTTTCAACGTCAAGCAATGCGATGGATGAATCATCTCCTACAATTATGGTCGATGATGCAGGGCTGGGTTGGGTTGCCTGCCGGAGTAAAGTTCGATCCGACAGATCAAGAGTTGATAGAGCACCTAGAAGCGAAGGTTAAAGAAGAAGGTTCAAGATCCCACCCCCTGATAGATGAGTTCATACCCACAATTGAAGGCGAAGATGGCATCTGCTACACCCATCCTGAGAAGCTCCCAGGTTAGATCAAGTATTACTTTACGTCTTTTACTCTCTCTCTCTCTCTCTCTCTCTCTCTCTCTCTCTCTCTCTCTCTCTCTCTCTCTCTCTCTCTCTCTCTGTGTGTTTGAATTCTCTGCCCTTCTCGGTCTCACCTCTCAATATAGTTGTATCTGACAAGAAAATTTGAGCTTCCTTCCTCCATGGGTCATACCTAACCTCACTGTCTTCTTGTCCTCGACTCCAGGGGTGACAAGGGATGGCCTGAGCAAGCACTTCTTCCACAGGCCATCCAAGGCCTACACCACAGGAACAAGGAAGAGAAGGAAAATCCAGTCAGAGAGCGACCTTCATAGGGGTGAGACCAGGTGGCACAAGACAGGGAAGACGAGGCCTGTCATGGTCAACGGGACGCAGATGGGGTGCAAGAAGATACTGGTCCTGTACACCAACTTTGGGAAGCACAGGAAGCCTGTGAAGACCAACTGGGTCATGCACCAATACCACTTGGGGGAGTTAGAGGAGGAGAAGGATGGGGAGCTCGTGGTATCGAAGGTGTTTTACCAGATCCAGCCGAGGCAGTGGTCAGATAAGAGTGCAGCAGCCGTGGAAGGGATGAGCCAAAGAAGGGATAGTGAGGTTCTTAGCAAGAGAGATGAGTACTCGTACAGTTCCATGGGGATGCACCAGCACGTGAAGCCTGATAACTTTATCTTTGCTCCTTTCGCAGAAGGTTTTAATGAGGTAATCTCTCCACAAGCTTTTGTTTGAATCGGTTCTTATGTTTCATTCTGTTCATCCGTTTTCTTGAGTTTGAAATGCAATTTTAATCGATCAAACTTAAATGATCGATCGAGCAATAATCTGCAACACAACTTATATGCACGTATGCGCAACATTCATATAAGTGCACTGTTCCAACTATCTTCTTCCCACCTTCCCTACCAAAAACTACACAAGACAAACACACTAGTAGAGAGTTGGGAAAAGAGAAAAGGATTTGAGCTGCAACCCGTTTGACGAGCGTGCATGCAACAGGTGGCCGTGGGAGAGGCGTCAGATGAGCATGCAGAGCACGAGCGCCATGTTAGACTACCACCACCACCACCGTATCATCGTGTGGCCCGACAGCAGCAGCAGCAGCAATGGCGGATGGCAACCGCTACTGCGGCTTTCCACAGCAGAAGGCCGCCTATGAATCCCATCTCCAAGTTTGTCCCGACTCCGCTGCAGCAAACGTCGATCGTTCTTGAAGACCCGTATCAAGTCCCGAGGATGCTTCTTCAACCCGATAAATTTCTGGTATGGCAATCCAGTTTGGTAGATTTGATCTCTTCCAGCCTCCGATGCTTCGTTCTTTTGATTTCAGTAAATCTTTATATTAGAATCCAACAAGAGATAAAACTTATGAGTGGAATCTTAGTTGTCTTCTCTTTTGTGAATGTTGGGTGTGTCGGTCTTCCTCTAGATGATTACTTCTCGAGAAGAACTGACAGTTTACATTGTTGGGAAATTAATTGTGAACAGCAACAGAAGCTGGACCATCATAGATCTACATCTGGCCTGGAAGAACTGATTATGAGTTGCACCTCAGCTGGAATTAAAGGAGTAAGTATAAACATCAATCAAAATTACTTGCAGCTAAGACCAAAAACCAGTCGAAGATAAGATCTACTGCTCCAAGTAACAAATGTGAGACAAGGAAGCAGTTTGATTCATTTCTATCTTTTTACCTAAGCATGCAACTAAGATTGAATCAGGAACTTTTGTTGGTTGGCTCTGTTTCCATCACACTAAACCCTCACAGTGTTGAAGAACATGTCAACACTCTTGTATATTTAACTTAGAAAGGAGAAAGGAAAAGGAAACAAAAGACACTTTCCTACTTTTCTTGTCCACAGATTTAATATCTATTGCCAAAGTCAAGTCAAAATTTTGTTCATCCTCTGATTACCTTTTGCCATCTACTATGTTAGTAGTACTGTAGCAATATCCTGAGTAAATTAGACAATAGGTTCAAGAATATATCTTCTCTTTTTATTTGGTCTAAAGAAGAAAAGAACATGGTGAAACTTCTATATGAATATGATAGTAATATAGCCAAATATATTCTACTTTTTTGACTTTGGAATACTCTCTCTTGCAGGAGACCTCAACTCCAATCTCTCAAGAGACAGCATGGCAGTACTCATACTGGTCTCCTGCCAACCCGGATCATCATGGGTGATGACCAAGAAGAGGATAAGCCAGGAAAACTAACAAAGCATCATCGCTACTCTCATCAGCGGCTAAGACTCTTCCGGTTACAGCATGAGAGAGTGAAAGAGAACATGCTGCAGATTTGGATAAGGAGCTGAAGCCTCAGGTCAGTAGAGGGAGAGCAGAAAACAAGGAGGAAAGCTGCTGTTGTTTGTTGCCAGAAGAAGGATACACACCTGGAATAATCCCCTGCATGCAAATCATCATCAACTAATGCTAGTGCTTGATTGTTTTAATTGTAACCATTACTAATATGTTGATTTTGTTTTTTGTTTTTGGCTTTGTTGTTCATGTGCATTTTTTTTCCTTATATATTAAAAAGGAGGAATGGAGAAGACAAGAAGAAAAAGAAGAAGAAGAAGAAGAAGAAGAAGGTTTTCTGAAACAACTGCTTGCTCTTGTAATTGTTTGTCAAAATTGGCTTCTGGGCAGTGAAGAGTGGATAGTCTTTTTTCCTACTTCTTCAAACTTAACTGTAGCTATTAATTAAAATGGTAAAGAGGATCATCTCATGTATTAACTCACTTCATTATCCTTTTTCTTTATATGATTTTGATTATTATGTAATGTATTAATTTTTCTTTAAACTTGTTGTTGGAATATTCTTTACACCTTAATATTTGGATAATTTCTGAAAGATCATAGAATAGTAATTAGCAGCCATTTATATATATATCTGCATCCCCAGTGATGTTCTACATGCTTGCCCAGTTACTGCAACCTGTAGAAAGAAAACCCTAACCCTAATGCGCCCCCTGGCTTATGTGCACATCCTAAACATGCTAAAGACTACTTTAGGAGGAATCAGATTCGGTTCTTTTTCTACAAGATGCCAAGTAAGTAGATTGCTGGTATCTATCTGCCTTTAGTCGATTGAAGAGAGAGAGAGAGAGATGGGAACGTGCATGGTGGTCTCTTTCCACCATTTTTATTTGCTTTGGACGTGCATGAAAGGGAGATTTGTCGAAGTTTCTTCGTAGTTTCTTAGCTGCACTGAGCATAAACAGTTTGAGGTGAAGTGACAGGGAATGCCTTTTTTTGCTTGCTTCTGTCTGCACATTCCCTCCACATAAATAATATCCAGAAAGATATCAAATATATTTGCCTGCCTGTTTCAAAAGAAGGTCTGCACTTATCAAGAGATATCCAAGTATTCTATTGCAGGGTGTTTGTGAGTTGGATAAACCCTAAATCTGGTGAAAGTACCACAGACTTCATGCATGGTGTTGGATTTTTATACTGCAACTCGACCCAGAACGCAGTCGCAGCAAGATCTATGCATCTACAAGTATGAAGAAGAACCAATTCCAGTTCCATGAATCTTAGTTCCCGTGGTTTAAACTCGAGAACAGGCTTTAGATAAAGCGAAGGGTGCGTTTGTCTTTCCAATCATTAAAGAATCCTTATGGACTGGGACAATGGATGCCTTTAGATCATCTTCAATCTTGAGCCAAACACAGCATTTGCAACGTGTACATGTGTGTGTGTGTGTGTCCCTCCCCAGCAGGAGACGGAAAAGGATGCCATGCCTGTTCATTCCCTCCTAAAGGCATTAATTCCTCTCTCTCTCTCTCTTCTCACAGTCTCTCTCGAAAGGGCATGGAGGGCTCACCAGATTCGGTCCCATAAAGAAATTGCAGGAACAATTGTGTGGTGGTGGAGAGAATAATAGAACATGGGTTTCCTTTGTGGATTCTGCAAATGATCCGCCCTTTGGGTTGCTTCTCTTTCCCTAACGCCTTTGGTGTATCTCCAATCCATCATACTTGCATATACTTTTAGGATTAGGCATAAAGACATTTAATGCTACTCGTGCGGACCGTGATTTGATTGGGCTCAAGTATTGTTGGGCCTTCGACATGTGGGATTAAATCAGAAGATTGGGAGGCTCATCTGAGTCACATTTTCTTGCATATTTATAATATTCTTGCAAGATATGTGACGTTTCATGTGCGTGATGGAAGTCCGTCACATACATCAATTTTTGCCTGACCTATAAAACCAATCAACAAATAAGAACAAAAAAGGCATATATACGCATGTCATAAGGTACATAAATATATCTATCACATCATTCGTTATTAGTTCATATCGACATGAAAATTATTGTAAATTGATTTGACTACATTAAAAAAAATAAAATTTTTTTGTCCATTCTCGCTCTCAACATGTGTTACTGATATATAGGTCGAGAACGACAAGCCATCAGGAGAACGGTAGCGACTACATATGTAATGTACTTTGAATCCTGAAATAAGCAAATGCAAAGAGTGATTATGTTTTTTTTTTTTTTTTATCTTTGATCAAAAATACCCTCAATAAAATTATAAAAAAATTAATGATTATGTTTTAACTTAATTTTTTAAGATTGACTCAATTTTTTTTTAAATGAATTGAACCATTTAACTAAATTTTAACTATTCGATTGATTCAATTAATTGATTCACGCCTCCCACTCCATCACTTCCTCCCACTCTACCACTCCAACCTCCTCCTCCCACTTTGACATCACCTTCGCCTCCCTCATAGCTTATTCCTCCACCTTCACCTTCTCCTACTCCTCTCTCTCTCTCTCTCTCTCGTCCACTTCCATCACCCCTCCTCATCCTCTTCACACTTCACCGATGTCGTCTCCTCCTCCTCATCTCACTCCACCTCCACCATTATCTCATTCTCCCACCTCCTCCCCGACTCCCTCTGTTATTCTAAAAAAATATTAATTTTTATATAAAAATATCCTAAATTATCCCTAAAACACTATCAAGTTCGAGTTATACTCAAATTATGTTTGAATTACACTCATTCACAAAACATACTAAACAATATGTTAAATCTATATAAAAATTTTAAATTTATCATAAAATAATATTATCTTAAATTATTCAAAATAATTGTTAGACTTAGTTAAAAGTTACACTCATTCACATAACATATTAAAAAATATATTAATTTTATATAAAATTATCATAAATTCATAATAAAAATAATCACAAAAAATCCTATATTTCCTATTTCTAATTTCTAATTTCCTATATTGACTTAATTATATTCGAATTAAAATACATTAAATTTGATGACCTAACCTATTTTTAAGATTTTTTAACATAATTACTTATTAATAAACTTATTAATAAATTTAAGATTTTTTTAACATAATTACTTATTAATAAACTTTACTAATTGTTTTATTTTATGATAAATTTAAAATAAATTTCTATAAAACTTAATAAATTCTAGGAATGAATGTGACTCAAATATAACCTAGATATAATTTGAATATAACGAATCCGACTGTAAAGATTCTACCTGAATCCACTTGAAAAAAACCATATTAACCAGATTCAATAGCATTATCACAATTTTTGGAGAAAAAAAAAATGCAACCCTTAGATTAAAAAGGATGCCATCCAACAAAAGCATATTATTAGGGGTTTTTTTTTGGTAAAAATGCCCATTAATCTATTGATTAACTTTACCTATTGATAAGAATGGAAACATGACATACAAAGTTGCGTTCTAAATCTATGGGAGGCACCAATCAGGATAGCACAAGGAAACAGGAATTAAAATGCATTTGTAATGTCTTCGAACATCACACTTGGGAGAATACAAAAAGATGAACTAGCATACAAACGAGCTGACGCTCAGATCAACGAGATCTCTAAAACCAGCATGATACGTTGTGAACCACACCGACAAACAGAGTGCACTGTCTACCTCAATCCGATCAAGCATTGCCAGAGGATCACATCAATAGGCTGAGCTTTTTATTTGCGCTACCAACTTTGGTCAAATTAATTTCCCGAGAGTTAGAACCAATTTGTGACATCAGTGGTGGTCTAAAATCAATTTTAAAGCCAGATTATGATTGGACCTCAATAGAGGCCTCGAGGAAATGAAACTCTTGACATCATTTGTTCTTACATCAAACAAACAAATCATCCTTCTGAGACAACTCAAAAAAGTATCTTACCAAAAAAGAAATCCTTGCATGTGATGTTCACTAGCCAAACCAAGGTGGAAAAAAAAAAAGAGACTAGTTGATTACCTCATTTCTTCTTTCCAGCCTTGGCAGCATCTCCAGCCTTTGTCTGGATGGGGTAAAATGAGAACATCTTTAGTGAGGCAGAATAGTAGCAAGCTATATAGAACATCATAAAAGAAAAAGAAAAAACAAATTCACAGCACACCAACAAGTAACAAGCTACCATAAGACTTGTCAGTTGCTGGTCCACTGCACCTATAATAGTACAAGTCTAATACTTGATCTATCAGAAAACATTTCTAATGATGTATACTGTAAAAAGTTGAGAAGCTTGGACAGTTCACCTTCTTAACACCGCGGACCTTCTTCGCCCTGTTCTTCCTTTCCTTCATCTGCTTCCTTGATTTTTCTACCTTTTTTGCAAGCCCATTCTGTCAAAACACCATATGCAGATCAAAAATAGTTCTAAATTCACTGCAAAAAGTAAATCATAGTACTTAAACAAGAAAAACCAACAAAAGACAAGAAAACAAAGTTACAAAAATAGTTGTGTTATATAGTTAAAAAATAAGCATAGTTGCACATTGTCATCCTGCTAAAAGACAAAGACACCATAGTCAAATATAATATCCAGAGTCTAATCATGGAAATAAAAAAAATTCTGGCAGCTTTAACCATAAAATAGTGCACATTACACATAGTTACAAAATAAAACCTATATGACAGGTAAGCACCTACTCGTTTGGACATGGCATATGATCATATTATCAATGTGACTTTTGGTCCACCAAAGGAACAACCCATTATTTTGAAAGCAAAAATCAGTGTAGCACCTCGCAAAACCTCCAGGTAAAGTGTTTTGATGAAGTGCTACCGGTCACTTGCTTGAAAGTTGAAACGAGGCACCTTGGGCGAGCACCCGAGTGAAGATGTGTCTGGGTTTGTGCCTAGTTCTGAACAAGCAAGTCACCCCCCAACCACCCCCCCCCCCACTTTTGTCTTCAAAGTGAAACCCTACATCCATTCGTCCGCAGCTTCTTTTGTAGTCGCTGCCTTCCTCTGCAACTTCCTCTGCCATTATCGCCTTCGTTCGTAGCTTGCTCCATCGCCGCCGCCTTCATCTGCAATTTTCTCTGCCATTGTTGCCTTCATCCATAGCTTTCTCCATTGCCACCGCCTTCGTTTGCAACTTTGTTTGCCACCCTGTCCTTCCCTCACCTTCCTCCATATATTTTTAATATTCTAGAGCGCCTAACACCTCGAGTATTTTGGGACCTTAGCGCTTTTAAAAACCAAATTACCGAAAACCTAAGGAGTTAGGTATGGAGATACTTCTGAACTAGTCAAGACATTCATCATGTAGCTGAGATGACTATGCCGACAACAGTTTTTAGAGAATGAAATGAGCATTGAAAAGCACAAGCAAACAAAGACACCATTTGGATCATAGTTTATAGGATAATGTAGATATATTGGTTTGGGGATTTCCATGTGATAGCTCCTATTTCTATAAAGGGAGAAAGACCTAGATAAACAATCTGATCAATTACCCTAATCTGGACGTAAAACATATCAATCCATCTTAACAACACAAGGTGTCCATTTCTTTGGCACAAATTCAATTAAAATTAGCAATCTTATGTTCAGTCAATCAAGTATGACAAAGAATGACTAACCATGACTGCTGAATGTAAATACCAAAACAAAAAAAAATACTGCAACAATCCTATGAATGATGACTTCCAGCATTAGCAAGAAAAAAAAAGGTATGCATGTAAAAAAGTGAAAATCTAGTATGTGAGCATTACAAAAGGCCATAAGTGAAAAAGGGCAATCAAGAATGCAAATATGTTTTGCTTTGTATCTCAATAATATTAACACTCTAGCACAAGGCAGAACCTCAGGGCATGGTTGGGTATAGGGAAACATGAGAAGATAGCAACTTGTACATGATGAAAATCAACTTCTTTGGAGGAATTTAAAAGTGGAATTCAAATCATCCAACCCAAACACAAGGAAACTGCCACCGACTTAGGAAGTGTACTTAGTTGAGCAATTTCTTGACCACGAAATCGCCCAAGACATATAGGACAACAATAATGTCAACTGATACAAGATAATAGAAATTCCAAAGTAGGTCTTAAACGACTAAGGGCAGAAAAAAACAGTTCAGTGAGCAACCACGGATCAAAACAACAAACAAGCAACTAAAATAGTTCGATGTGGCATGGCTCGGAGAGATGGAGGCATACCCTAATGAGCCGATACTTGGGCTCGTACTTCTTGGCGTTCTCCACGGTGTCGTAGATCAAACCGAAGCCGGTCGACTTCCCTCCTCCAAAGTGCGTCCGGAATTTGAACACAAAGATCGTGTCGGGATCCCTCACTTCGTACAGCTTCGCCAGTTTCTCTTTCAACTCAGCCTAGAACATCACCAAGCACAGAACAAATGAATTCGACGAAAGGAAATCGGCGAACAAATCAGGGTCGATACCAAACCCTAAACGCGAGGCATCAAATAGAGAAATCGCATACCTTGGAGACATTGGCTCTTCCGGGGTGAAGGACGTCGATGACCTGAAACCGATCGAAGAAAGATCAATAAGGGATCAAGATGGGGCATTTTCCACGGAAAATCGAAGAAAAGGAGACGGAAGGAATTGATGGACCGACGAATTGCTTCCTGTAGAGGAGGCGATTGGTCATAAACTTTCTGGTCCGGATGGTGACAGCCTTCGTATCCGCCATTTTCTGCTGCTCCGGTCTACGGCGAGCGGCGACGGAGAAGAAGAAGGCGAAGCGGCTGAGACATACGAAACCCTACGCCGAGTCAGCGTTTGCTGCTTATATAGGCGTGCCGCTGGGTGTCATGTTATTGGGCCGAGATTAGGCTCATGAGCCCATAACTCAATTGGGCTACTTGTCTCTGTCTTGGGTCATCTTAATGGGCCTACATTAGGCCCATATCATTGCCATCTTTCTCTAGTTTATCTCAATTGGACTGTGTCGGTTTGATCTCATTGTTTTCTTGCATTAAAATGCTGAAATGTGTTTGGTTTATGAGCCAAATTATCATGTTTGTACGTAAACTTTTTCCTATGGCAAGGATTGAAGATACGAATGAAATCCCTATCAAATAACATAATAAATAAAATTTTTGATTTATTATGGTTTAGTTGTAGCATAAGTTAAACGTTGTTATGGTATAGAAAAGTTGCAAATCCTTTGAGCAATATCACATCACTACAAGAACATTACAAATCATGCATACTATCAAAGTGAGGAATACTAATTATGTCAATGAGCCAACCTAAAGCTTCGATGTTGTTATCAGGCCGAATCGATTCAAAACGTTATAAATTTTGTAGCTCTATAAATTTAGGTTTTTTTTATCTTGTATGTGTGCCATGAACTTAATTATTTTTATTTAAAGTCATATAATATTTTTATATGTCTGTTTATAAAGGATTAATCTCTTCGAAATCTTTTATGATCTTTTAAAAATATATATAAAATTCGAGTTAAAAGAAACATTTTATTTTAGATTTCATAAATAGATATTTCAGTAAATACTCGATAGATACTATAAATTACAAATATAAACTTTATAGACTCTCTAAATGATTATACAATAAAAGATCTAGGATTATATATTTTTTTCTTAATCAAGTTGATATAATTATTAATTAAAAAGAGGAAAAAAAACAAAAGCTCTAGTGTGAGTCTTCCACTAATATAGGTTTATCGTCACAAAAATAAAAATATTTTTTTACTACTTAGATCCTAAGATTAGGGAGTAACCTTATCATCACAACAAAAAAAAGCATATGTGCATTCACAAGAATATTAGAAGCTGGAAAAAGAACAAAGAAAGAGAGAAAAGGAAATAGAAATTACTAGCATTGTTGTTCATTAGCAGCTGATTTTTTTGTTCTTTTTTTAATGTAAAAAGGAAGGTAGAAGTCATCCTCATCACTAAGAAGAAAATGACTTGTTCTAATCTTAAGACAACATATTGCCAAAAAAGTGAAAATTTGAAATTGACTTGAGATCTTCTAGAAATTTGAATTATATGGATTAAGTAGCCTATATACAGAGAGAGAGAGAGAGAGAGAGAGAGAGAGAGAGAGAGAGAAGT